AAGCTTCTATAAAAGCCCTGACGCGGCCGTTTCAGGTAAATGGAATCCATAAGTAGCCAGCAGGTTGCGTTGCAGTGCTCTTACAGCCGGGGGTTGACAGCGGCTCAGGTCCTGCCTCGAGGGGACACTGGAAAACTCAGGAATGCACACACGTGTCAAAGCAGCTGTTAGCGTGGAGCTGCGCTGCCAAGTCGGGCCGTGTGGCTGCACGCACACCGTACAGAGCCGCATGGTTCTGGAGATGGTTTCATACTTTTAGCCCAGGGAGGGGGGAAAAAGGATGCAGTAAAATCAATACACACCGCCTTTACAAGAAAGGCGCGAGCAGCAGCAGCAGCAGCAGCAGCAGATGTATACAGGCACCTGAACTGTCTCCAACTCACCCACTCACCCGACCCCCCCTCACCACCCACCTCCACCCACCCACACACACACAGCACTTACACACTATTCCACTCTATGCATTTATTCAATTGATTTTTCTTAGCTGCAATAGCTTTCAATTGGAGTCACTCTGGTCCACTTCCACGGCCCAGCGTTGATGAAAGGCTCCATTCACTGCTGCATCATCCACTCAGTGTGACGGGGCCGCAGACAGTGGTCCTGGAGAGAAGGCAGTCGGAGGCTGACTTTCAATATGAGGCAGATTACTTCATTTAGTACTCGGCCTCATTGTCAGTCAAATATCTCACGTTTGAGCAGCACTTTTTTTAATGATAATAATAATTTGAACACTGCTGTAACAGAAAGTATGTGTTTCCTCTGGGAATTGAACCCAGGACTACCTGCTCTCTGCATCCAAGGCAGGCGTGATAACTGACACAATGTCAACTGGTGGATGTTAGCTGTCATGTCAGATTTTCCCATAGGCTGTATATAAGAAGTGAACGTAGCTGTCATGTGACAAACAGTTGCCAAGTGGAGACATGTTGCTATGCTATCGTGCTAATTTTACATAAGTTTTCTTGCAGCCTGGCTATTAGCGTAGTGTATACCTAGATTGACTGGCACTTTCTGCAGAATATTACGGTACTTTGTCGGTTGGGAAGAAAACGCCAGAATGGATTAGTCTCTCATGCTAAAGTGTAAATATAACGTTACAAATGTTAACATGGGGTGTATCCCATGTTAACCCAGTACGACTGCCCTGTGATTGGCTGGCTCACATGGACACAGGAAACGTATATTGACATATAGTGATCACTAATTTTTATTTTTTTTTATATGTTGACTAAACTCCGAGAGTCAGAGTTTGAATGTTTATAGTGGTTATAACTGGATATTACACTGTAGTGCACGTGTGGGGACAGCGCCCTCTGTAATATGGTCACACCGTAGTTGCAGGATCCAGGTGTTTATTACATGACACTGACTTGATTGTCCGTTTTCTGCTAAATAGGATTTATAGTATTTTAAACTCACCAAACTGATATAACATTCCTTTAATAAAACCTGAAAGATCTAGAGCATCGAGGCCGTAAATCTGTCAGGAAAAAGTTCAGTGAT